TATTTCAATTTCTTCTCCTTAAATGAGGATAACAGCTCTGGACTAAAACTGGAGAGACTATATGTCGTTATAGCTAAATGTGAACAGCTCAGCTGGTGTAATGCGGGCCCGTAATATACTGTATAGGACCTAATCTGTGGCCAAGTTTCAAACACTGCAGTGATGTCTCTGGTAGTGGGGAAGTGAATAGTTCATGCTCTGGATTGATGTGCGTACACATTTAGGAAAGGGAAGTACGGTGGAAATCAGTGTTACACCAGTGCAAATGCAGTAATTGCAGAATTAAGACTGAGATGTTGGTCACCGAGTTCTCATCAATATTCTGTTAAATCCTAGCTTGAAACAACCCATTGGACTAAATATTGGCTTATCTCCTAGGACCATGCAAACACAGAAGCCAGCTATAAGCTGCTGGGCTCTTACCTCTCAAACCAAGAAAAATGCATCAGCCCCATCTGGGCAACTCAGACCTTCTTATGCCAGCAACAATAGAGCCTTGCATAAGGGTGTCTGAAGAGTGGCAATGGGCAGCCAAATTAATCCACGTTCGAGATGGAGGTGGACCGTGTTGCCTGCATTTCTTGTATGGGAGGGAGGGTATCTAGGAAGTTACCAATTCTCTCTTGACAAACCATTCTCCCACTGCTGCTCTGAGAAACCCAGTCAGCCACCTCAATCTATCTTGAAAGTCTAAATATGAGAGCTTAGATACAGGTCCCTCCCGTCCCACATTTTAAAAAAAAATCTTTCAATTTTCACTTTTCGTTGACTTTTCACAAGAAGAAAGGTGTTCGTACTATTCACATCCACAAAAATAACCTCTGTATTTCTGATTCTGGGAAGCCTTGTGGTGACAAAATAAAGTCAATATTCACATTCTGCCATGAAAGGAGAATGTTTGTTTGATTTCACATTTCAGAAAAAAGGGCCCACAGAGCTGTTGCTATATATTGCTGCATCATAGCTAAAGATGATGTACATAGGTGGGTGAGAAGGCTGGTGCTGTGGTTAGTGTACCGAATGTTGTAAATGAGTCTGCAAATGGTGGTACGTTGTGGTGTTTTTCAGGCAGCACTGTGGATTTGGCTGAGTATACTTGTACCTTTCTAGGTAAACAAAGAACACAAGTTTGCTGGAAGCCAAAAATGTTTCTATGAACTTCAGCATCCGGCAAAAAAATACTTTCCTGTGAGACAGGAAAAAAAACGAGAAATCAGAAAAGAATTAAGCTTCTTGGAAAACATGTTTTTTCACTGATTGTGAGAATATTGTACATGTCTTAGTTTTTCCTGTTTTCCCACATTCTCTTAATTTTTTTACCAGAAAGAAACCACAGTTAGACTAGTAGTATCATAGGAAACAATCATTTCAAAATGGTATTTCAAGATGTGGAAAGAACTTGGCAAATTACTGCTGAGACTTTTGTGCTCTTAAGCCAATAGGATTTCACAGGATGCATTTCTTGGCTGAATCTAGCCTTCTTGTATATAAATAAATCAACAAAGTACAGTTACAGGAGAAGCCTTTTATCTGTATAACACTTTACAATTATTCCATTTGAAAATCCTAAACTGATATGCTTGTATAAAACAAATGGAATAACAGAATCCTATATGCTGCAATGAAGATGGTAATGAAATAATGGGGGACCTTACCTTGAAACTTCAAGGATTTGTGTGGATGATTTCTCTGTAAGGAACCCTGCTGAGTCAGTGGGGCTCTGTGTGAGCCCATTTGCCCACCTGAACCCATGGGATCAAGGCACCAATTTGTAAGTATACACTGGAAAAACAAAATACTAAGTAAGAAGACTTGGATTATTTCAGAGGTGGATCCTGTTCTTGAATACCGAACAGTGGCTGTTTTGTGTATTGGCTATGATCTGATTTTTTTTTTCTCCCTTCTCTCTCTGAGGCAGAAACCTCAGTACCTGCATGCATCTGCACAGGCCTGACATAAAATGTTCATGTTAATGTACTAAGAAGACATTGAGAAAGCAGTCAACCTTTAAGCTATTGTTTGAAGGGGCCCTGTTAAGTACTGGGCAGGAAAATGAGCTGGGAGGGAGGCAAGGTTTCTGCCTCAGAGGGAGAAGGGGGAAAAAAATCTCCTCCTGACCCTTGCACGGGGAGATCACATACCAATCACTAGATTCATCTCCACCCATCTCCCTATTTTTGATGAGCAGGAAAAGAGAGGTTCAAAAATCAATTTACACCCTCGTTCCTTTGAGGTCCAATACCCTGTTTGCATCCCACCCCTTGATGTCCTTTACCCTCCCACCATAGCTTCATCTGTGAATTGGTTTTCCTGCTCCCCAAAATTACTGTTCACTTGATATGTCACTAAACACTGCCTCCTTCCTGATCTTTTATTTGGAGTTCCCTCTCCCTGATCATCCCAGCTTCATCACATTCCTTCTCTTACCCCTTTCTTCTGTTCTTGTCCTACTCTTGTCCTGCTCTGTACGATTGTAAGTCATGAAAGTGGCCATGGTCATCCACTCCTCCCTTTACTCATTCTTCCCTCTCCAGGTTGTCACTCAATTCCCACATCTATATCCTCCATGCCTGTCGGCATGCTTCGCTGTGCAAAATCCCCTGGTCTCTCAGATTTCCTCTCCTACAAATTCATACTCTCCTTCTCCAGTTCTGCCATCTTCCTGCTCAAGCAGCTGTTCTTCCTATCACACACACCTATACCAGGTCACTTAGGCTAGGTCTACTTCAAAGAAAAGTTGGAAAAAGTTATGCAAATTGAAAACCACAATTTGCATATCTTTTCCCGCTTTTCTTTCGAAAGAGGCTTTTCCAAAATTTGACTCATCTACATGGCACCAAATTTCAGAAAAACCTCCTCTTTCAGCACATCCCTTCTTCCTCATGGAATGAGGATTACAGGGATGGTGAAAGAATGCACCCACTTTTTTGGATATTGTTCCGAAAAAGCGGACATGTTCCTTGGACGCAGCATTGCTTTTCTGGGATTCCTCCGGTAACCTGGAAAAGCTCTGCAGTCTACACATAGCCTTATTCATCCCCTCTGGTTCTATCCTGAAATGTCTCTTCAGTGCCCCTCTATTTTTCAAGTAGAAGCTTGTA